AATAATGTTGCTGTGAACATGGGTGTACAAGACCTTGCTTTCAATTCTTTGGGGTATATACCCAGAAATGGATTAAGCCAGAACTGCATATAAGAACATGGACAAATCCCCAAAATGAAGTTGAAAAATTTTATACCCTTAATATACATTATTTAAAAATATAAAACAATGTGCTATTTATAGATATACTAGAGGCTCGGTGCACAAAATTCATGCACGGGGGAGGGGAGTTGTCCCTCACCCCAGCCTGCACCCTCTTCAATCTGGGACCCTTTGAGGGATGTCCTGTTTAGGTCTGATCCTACACGGGCGGTCAGATATCCCTCTCACAATCCAGGACTGCTGACTCCAAACCACTCACTCACCTGCCTCTGCCTGATTGTCCCTAACCACTTCTGCCTGCCAGCCTGATCACCCCCTAACCACTCCCCTGCCAGCCTAACCAATGCCTAACTGCTTTCTGGCTGGCCTGATTGCCCCCAACTGCCCTCCCCTTCTAGCCTGGTTACCCCTAACTGCCCTCCCCTGTTGACCCAGTTATCCTTAACTGCTCTCCCCTGCAAGCCGCCCCCTCCCCAAGGTCACCCTCGACTGCTTTCCTTTGCTGCCATCTTGTGGTAGCCATCTTGTATCCACATGGGGGCAGCCATCTTTGACCACATGGGAGCAGCCATCTTGTGTCTTGAAGTCATAGTCAATTTGCATATTACTCTTTTATTAGATAGGATACATACTCATATTTTTAAATATTACATATATTGATTGTGTGTGTGTGTGTGTGTGTGTGTGTGTGTGTGTGTGTGTGAAGAGAGTGAGAGAGAGAGGTAGAAATGCAAAAACACATGTGAATGATAAATATCAAAACTAGGACAGGGATACCTCTTAGAAGAAAGAAATGTAATTTGTGGGCCATTCTGGAGGATTTCATTACGTTTATCAAGTTTTCTTTCTTTAAAATGTCTGAAGTAAACATGGCAAAATATTAAGATAGAATTGGAAGTTGGATATACCAATTTATTAATCTCTATATTTGTATGATTGAAAGATTTCATAATAAAACACACAATACATTCCTTACTACTTCTCTGCTGCTGCCATCATCATCCTGGCTGCCTACAGCAGTCTCTGGTTTCATTTCTTCGCTTTCTACATTGTTCCACTATCACCATTCTCCATATAATAGTGTTAGAAATAAGGCGAGCTGAAACCGATTTGGCTCAGTAAATAGAGCGTCAGCCTGCGGACCGAAGGGTCCCGGGTTCGATTCTGGCCAAGGGCATGTACCTGGGTTGCGGACACATTCCCAGTGGGAAGTATGCAGGAGGCAGCTGATTGATGATTCTCTCTCATTGATGTTTCTAACTCTCTATCCCTCTCCTTTCCTCTCTGTAAAAAAAAATCAATAAAATATATTAAAAAAAAAAAAAAGAAAGAAAAGAAAAGAAAGAAAGAAAAGAAAGAAGGCGAGCCCCACAAGTCAGGGGTTCTGGTAGAATACAAAACACTCGGGAGCCAGGCAGCAAGGTAAACATATTTACTTCTACATAGAAGGGTGCACACACATGGTCTGGAAAGCACATGTACATGGAGTTGACTGTCTGCTGGGGTTTATAATCCCTGACGCAGGTAATCTGTCCTTTGCTCTTGATTGGAGCTCAGGTGCACAGACTTTTGCAATTGGTTAGTTCAAAGGGAGGGTTTGGTCTTTGCTGTTTCAAGATGGCAGCCCCCAGGGGAAGGGGCTTCCAACATGGCGGCTGCCAAATCCCACGGTCCAAAATGGCGGCTGTCTAAACTGTTCTTTGACAGAAAAGATGAACTGTTTATTAATAACATATTAATTTCTAGAACACTATTCCCCTTCTCAATACCTTTCAATGGGCTTACCACTCTAAAAATAAAAATGAAACTTCTTATCACAGTCCACAGGCCCTATTTTACTGTGCAATTTAGCCCTTATTTCCCCCTCACCATCATTATTTATCTCCTCAAACTGATTTGTTTTCCTTTCAGAACTTCTTACTACCCCAATTTATATTAATTCAGGTATATGGGTAATTATTCCTGCAGTCCCCAGCCCTCACTAGAATATAAGTTTCATCAAGGCAGAATTTTTGTTTTCTACTATATCCCTATTGCCAAGAGCATTGCTTGACTCATATTAAGTATGAAATAAGTATTTTCTGGATCAATGAATAAATGAATGATTTCATTTTCATTCAAAAAGGGGAAGAATAACATTTCAGTGGTAAAAATAATGATAATAAAATGTATGGAGGTTGAAAATTACATAGTACTCTATCAACTGTAACAACAGCTAAGACACACTAAGTGCTCATTATGTCTAAGCATTTCTAAGCACATACTTTTTTTTTCGGGGGGGGGGGGGTGTCAGCCCTGCAGACCTATGTGTCATGGTAGCCTCCCTCTAGCCATTACTGGTTGGATCTGGATGCCATGCTGGCTGATAAAAGCCTGTTAGCCAGGGGAAAGCAATCATTCTTTTTCTTGAAAATTTGTGCTGAGAGACATGCAGGCTAAGGATGTTTGAAGATGAGTCATGCTAATGGCAGGACAGTTTTGATTGAAGGGAACAGCTGCAGAGGTCCTTGAAGCTGCTCTGCTATCTGCCCTTTCTGAACCTTGTTGTTCAGTGTTCCTTGGTTTAACGATGACAGTTACCAGCTATCCTTCTGGTAAAATCCACTCCCTTCATTTTTAAAACGAATATGGACAGGTTTATTTTGTTGATCATTCCTTCTCTCAGAAATACGAAAAGCAAAGTATTATATATATATATATATATATATATATATATATATATATATATATATATATATATATATATAATTGATTTTTGTACAGAGATAGAGAGCTAGAAACATCAATGAGAGAGAGTCATCGCTCAGCTGCCTCTTGCACACCCCCCACTGGGAATATGCCCGCAACCAAGGTACATACCCTTGACCGGAATAGAACCTGGGTCCCTTCAGTCCCCAAGCCAGCGCTCTATCCATTGAGCCAAACCGGTTTCGGCAGCAAAGTATCTCTTAATCAAGGAAACATGACTGAGATAGTTTTTCCTTTGCAACACCATGAGAGTGTCTTACTGTTCCCATTTTACAGATGAGGTGACAAGGCCTGAATGGTCCAATACCTTTCCTAAAGTTGTAGAGCAGTAAAGATGCCAATCCTGGCCTGGGTGACTTTCCTTGCTGTCTACCTTTTCTTCCTTTCAGAAGGGCTCTGAACTGCTATGTGTGGCTGTAGGAAGGGCAGCAAGAGGGCTGTTGTTGAGATGAAGTAAGGAAGACAGGACAAATATTTTGGTACCATTTCAGGTAAATTAGAAAATGACACTGGTAAAAGAGAAGGGGCAAAAACCAGATTTCACTTACTTTTGCATAAGCTTCCAAAGGATCTTCATCCTTCTTTATCAACAATTGTGAGCCGAGAGATATTTATATCAACACAGGATGTCTATATGATTGAAATTTTTTCTCTTTCCATTGACAGAGTTGACAGTTTTTAAAAAATTACAAGATACATTTTTAGTAACAGAAAAAGGGGGAGTTTTAACAATATATATTTAAAGATGACTTATAGTTAACTGTCACAGGGTTTGCAACTAGGCAAGTACATTTCTTGTCATTTTTGAAAACTCCCCCCTCATTCTTGCATGTTGCTGAAGATAGTGTGACATTTAAGTGAGGTTGTGAATACAGAATTCCAGAGGATTTACTCTGGAATGAGGGGGTGGGTTAGTAGAGAAAAAGGGATAAGACTGATGAATTAATATTTATTCGAAGAGAGTAATCAATAAAACAGAGCTTGTGACTAAAAAATACTCTATGGAGTTCTCTCTATGGAGCATTGTGTTCTTATAGCCTTGTCTCTGAATAAACCTTAAGGTTACAGCACTCAATTGCACAAAGAGCAAGCATAAAATTAATAATGGACAGCACTTAGGTGCTTCCAATGGGGAGTAGATGGGCCAGAGCAATTTGGGGACCCATCTCATGGTCAGATTGTGAAAACTGGAGTTGAATGGTGTGCCCTGAAACTATAAATAAATGTTATGCTAGATATTTTTCACCTTGGAGAAAATTTGGTGTTGACTTCACCCAACGTTGGGTCTTACCTCATCCCCAGTGGCCCATTGTTCAGCAAGACAAATGCTGACACTAAATTTTCCTAGGAATGAGCCTTCCTAGCACATTATCCAACCAAAAGGTTGGTCATCAATGCATCCTTTGGATTAATTTATGATCAAAAGAAGGAAGTGTGGACAAAAAAGGGGCCATATACTAAACCTGATATACTCAGAGGAGACCTGTCATAGGGGTGGGGAGGCGATTTACAAACTCAAGAGATCTAATGTAATCACATAGGATGGTCTGAAATTATCGGAGGTTGGTGTCTCGACAAAGACCAATCTTTTACCTTAACTGAGCCAGACCATTGTCTTTTTGCATCTGGTTAATTTAACTTTGGAATATCAGGGTAATTTCCCTTTTTTCAGACCTTTCAGGGCACTATCTCCCACACGAGCAGAGGACCACAGAACCCCTTGTTATTGTTATCGTGTTAATTAGCTGTTAATTATCGGATCCTTACCAATGTAAAAGAAGTATGTGTGTAGTCCTTTTACTTTTTATCCAATCCCAGAGATTTCCCCGCTTTGCTTTCTCCCGCCTCCCTAATCTATCACCAATGGATTTCATGTAAGCTCCTTACGTCTTCTCCTTTGATTCTAGTGTATAAAAATAAGGAGCAAAACTGCCATTCTCCCGGGCATAAGCACGATCCGTTGAGATTTTTTTTCTTGCTTCCCAGTCCAAAAAACTCATCACAATTCTTACAGGTTGTGGGACGTTTCTTAAATCGACAAGGATCGGAAGCCTTCCAGAGGTCCCACCAATCCTGCATCGTCAGATCGGAACAATAGCTAACCCAACACCCACATTGACATCGTTCCGACACAACTACTCTGGGGGATGGTTTTGTTTGCAGCTGTTTCCTCCGTCCACAGCCACTACCCCCGAAATGTTCCAGCCGGGACTCCGGGCCAGCTCTTCCCGTCCGCCACTCCCCGGGGCCAGGCCCCACTCCAGCCCCGCAGGTAACAGCTGGGGTCCGAGGGCTCTTCCGGGGGTCTGGCGGGCCTCCGTGCGGGAAGGGGGGGTGGAAGGCTGCGCGGATCTGAGAAGAGTAAGGCGACAGGCCCGGGACCGGAAGGTGTGCGGGCGGCGGGCAGGCCAGACCGAGGGAAGGTTGGGAGGGGGAGGCGGGAGCTGCGCGAGGCTAACGCGGCGCGGGGGAGCGCGGCCGGAAGACGCGGAGGGAAAGTGGCGGGCTGGGCGCGAGGGGTCGCCAGGGGGCGGGGCCGCGAGCGCCGGGGGCGGGGCTTCCGCGCCGGTCACGTGACGGGCCCGGCGGCGGCGGTGGCGGCGGTAGCGGCCGCGGCGGCGTCTTCGGCGGCGGCGCCCAGTGCAGGATGTTGCTGGAGGCGGCGGTGGCGGCCCTGGTGGCGGCGGCGTCGTTGGCGGCAGCGGGAGGGGGTGCTGTGGCGACAGCGGCACCCGCGGGTGGTATAAAATGGCGGATTTCGAGGAGTTGAGGGTAAGCGGGGGCGCGGGAACGGAGATCGGAGGCCGCGGGGGAGGGGAGAGGAGGCGGGGGAAGGAGCTACGTCGCCGGCCGCCACCTTCTTTGCTGTGCGGGGACGGGTTTGAGGAGCCCGGAGTCCGGGCCCGCCTCTGGGGGCGCCGAGGTATGGGGGGGTGGGGTGGGAGGGGAGCCAGGCGACCGAAGGCGCCGGGCTGGGGGCGAGGGGGTTCCTGGGGCCCAGGGCGAGCGGCCACCGGTCCCACCCGGGCTGCTCACACCTGACGCGGGGGCCGGGCGTCCTCTGGAAGGAGGATGCGACCTCCCTGTTATTTTCAGGGCTGAGGTGGATCGCGAGGGTGTCCGTGTTTATGGCGATTCCCAAGTCCACACGCGACTCCCTTGGTGGGAGACTTGTTTTCCCCAGACGTGAAGTTGCGTTTAGGGATCCTCCTCTCTCCCTGGCTGATGCGGGGGTGTCACGGGCAGGGCCGCCCTCCCCCGGGCTTCCTCAGCCGACATCGCGGAGAGGAGCGTGGTCTTTGGGGAGCCCTGACTTGAGCCATCAGCCTTGACCCTGGACGTTTTTTCTTAGCGCCGTGGTGAGGAATCCGCCAGGTCCGTGTTGGCGTGAGGTTTGTTTGTAAACTCGTCTTCAGGGCTCTTGAGGAAAAGACCTTTTTTTCCCCCTGCCGGCGCTAGAACAAGGTCACAACTTTATTGTGGATACCTTTGTGTAACAGAGGTTCGGAAAGGGGGTGTGCTGGGGGTAGAATGGGAAGGATAGTTCCCCCTGACCTTCAGAATCCTCAACATTACAAAACTGTGATAAACGAGCCGGGTTTATTTATTTATATATATTTTTTTATGGCTCGCTGAATTGCTGGCCACATAACTGGAATACTTAGGGCCGGACCTCCCCCCCCCCCCCCCCGATTTTAAAAACGAAAGTCAAAGTGGAGATGCAAGTGAACTTGAACTTAAAGGTAAATGCACACCTTTTTGTATAACTTACGTCTGATGTCAGGGTTACTTGAAATAAGACAGAAAAAGGAATCAGATAAAAGATGCAGTTATGTATGCTTGTTTGTTTGTCTGTTTGTTTGTTTATGGCGAGGTATAGTGGGTCAGGGAAGGATATTGGCTGGTTACCTGGCTGGTGGACAGATCCACACCAGAAACAACCAATGAATAAAAAAATTAGGGAAACAATGAATTGATGTTTCTCTCTTCCCTTTAGGTTCTCGTTTTCTCTCTCTCTCTGTCTCTCTCTCTCTCAACTCAATAAATAAAAGGTCTTCATAAAAGGGTTTTAGTGTCTCAGAACCCTAGCTGTAGAGCTTTTAATGTCTGTGGATCTTTTGGATGGAGCAGGCCTGAGCTTTACCTGTGTAAATTCGTACATTAAATTTAGGATGGCTTGAGAAGACTGCAGTTTGAAGTTAAGCTTTTTTTTTTTTTTTTTTTTTTTTTTTTTTTAAACTGCAGTATTTTCTTAATTTTTGTGTATAACATGTTTATCCTCTTCTAAAGTATTTTGTTGATGAAAACTTTTTCAAGTCTTATGTTACACTTTTATAAATGTTGGTCAAAGCTTAGTAAAAAGCTGTAACTATTTTTTCTCTCTTTTCCACGTCCAGCCGGGCGAGAGAGCGTGTCCAATTCTTGAGTAGAGGTGGCTGGGGATTGAGAAATAAAACACAGAGATAGAAAGAAAAGCTGGGGCCTGGTGGACCGCTGCTCTCTTCTGATGGAGAGACAGTGATCTAGAGCTGATGCACCTTGTTTATTTTATACCTCCAAATACCAGCCAGTTTCACCAAAAGATCAAGACAAAGGAGTTTATTTGCATTCTTGAGTAGACCCTGGGTATTTCTGGTGCTTGACTGGATTTACATATGAAAACCCACTTCCCCACACCATGGGCTGAAATAAAGATCAAGATGACAACACCCTTGCCATTTTGGCAAGGCGTGTTCCCTGGGTGTTGGCTTTGCCAATGCCAGTGGGTTCAGCTGACAGTAATTAAAGAGTGCCCATGTGCCTTCCCAGTGGGCCCTCTGCATCTCTCTCGTTTTTCATTTTTTTTTTTTTAATATATTTTATTGATTTTGTACAGAGAGGAAGTGAGAGAGATAGAGAGTTAGAAACATCGATGAGAGAGAGTCATCGATCAGCTGCCTCTTGCACACCCCCTACTGGGGATATGCCCGCAACTAAGGTACATGCCCTTGACCAGAATCGAACCCGGGTCCCTTCAGTCCCCAAGCCGACGCTCTTTCCATTGAGCCAAACCGGTCTCGGCTCGTTTTTCATTTTTAAAGTAGCTTGTGGATATCTAGTTGGAGCCTTCAGACTTGAGATCGAGGGAGCTTGCTGATGACTGAAAAAAAAGCAGGATAGGATTATTAATACACACAGGAATCCAATTAGGTACCAGGCGGTGTTTTTTTTTTTTTTTTTTTTTTTTTAACATATTCCATGGATTAAATTCTTTTAAATCGTCCAATAATTCTTTTGCCAGTTTTGCTGACGATGTAATTCATCATGACTATTCTGAATGGCTTGCACATGTTTGTATAGTCGCGCTAGGTCTATACTGATATTATTATGATGCCATATTCCCTGTAGGTGCATCTTGATTTTCTTAAAATAATATATTTTATGGACTTTTTACAGAGAGGAAGAGAGGGATAGAGAGCTAGAAACATTGATGAGAGAGAAACATCAACCAGCTGCCTCCTGCACACCCTCTAATGGGGATGTGCCTGCAACCAATGTACATGCCCTTGACCTGAATCGAACCTGGGACCTTTCAGTCTGCAGACCAACGCTCTATCCACTGAGCCAAACCGGTTTTGGTGGTGCATCTTGATTTTATTCCAATCCCATAGAGAATTGTTATAGCAGGCTGAAGTCACACAAATATATGTAAAAGCAGCATGGCATTGCAGCTGCTGTCTAATCTTGATACTTTCTAATTGATTACCTAGTCCTATCGCTACAGCTTCCAAAGCATTTAGTTTTGTTTCTAGCCTTTTGTTTATATCTTATTGATCATTCTGAGCCCATTCATTGACAAACTACTTGGATGCTTTGGGTCAAAGCAAGAGAAGCAGTCATAGCAGATGCAATAACAGTAATTAGAGTAACAATACCCAAAATAATAAGTCCCAAAGCATGCTTTTCCCCGGGACAGTTGATTGTGTAATTCCTGAAATGCCTAGAGGCCCGCATCATGATACCATTTCCTGTTTTGTTGGTAGGAAGCATAATAAAAGAAGGCTGCTTTAAAATTAATATATCTTTATTCACATTATTCCTGGAAACACAGTTGGTAAGATTACAGTAATGTCATTGGACAGCATACTAGGTGTCCAATCTGGTGATATTCACATTTCTAGTCACCAATAAGAGGGTTGGACACAGGCTTGTAAGCCATAGCAAGGGCTTGACGTGCATGCTCCTTTAGTATTAGCTAAGAAAGAGCCAGTAAAATTAAGGCAAGAGCAGTGGCTAAACACCATAGACTTTTTTTCTGTAAATTTCCTGTTTTTGTGGTTAGGGTATTACCTATATAACCTCCTGGTGACAGAGGCTCTTGATAGGGAAATTTAGCATCAAGCCAATCTAATACAGACAAGTTAGAGCCAGAAATATTAGGTCTCACTGGTACAGGATTGGCGCAATCTTACCATTAAGGTAATGCTCCCAACTCAGTAGTGGTGTTATTAGGGCAGGAAGGGAGTGGGGGATGCTAATCAGACAGCCATTGGGTGGCCTTAGGAAATCCTAGTTTAGTAACTGTTGAACATATTTTCCCATATTCCAGGGGCCTTCAATGTTAGCAATGTTTGTGCCTCCATAGGACGTCTTATTTTCTTCGCCAAGTTGCAAACATCCTGAAGTTCCTCTTTTTGATAAACAAATAGAGCTCCCCACTAAAGTCATTATAAGTATAATCACCTTGGGAAGAAGGAGTTATATGCTTGTCGGAGCAACCCCTGACCATATTATTGTTGTTAGAAAACACTGGCACTGATTCTCTGGTCCAGGTGGCTGGATTAATCATAGGGGGGTCTGGAACATAAGTCCAGAAAGTTTCTGCTGCAGCCATACTTACCTGGCAGCTGACAAGTGCCATCATAGCAAGAAAAAGATTGGAGGGGGTTACCTGTACCCCTGTTCTTTTACCACTTGCTGAGCATCAGTGGTCAGCTTCTTCAGTTGACCCCATATTGGTACATCAGTCCCTTGTGAAGCCTTTAGTTTTCTTCTTTTTCTGCTTGCTATTATTGGGGCAACTCTCAGTCCTTTTGAGTGGAGGGACTATTGAGGTGATGCACGTAATGCTCTGGCACCCAAATTGGCTGCATTGTTCCTTCTGGAAAGATTTAAAACACAAACTCTTTCCCACATTATTAATCTGATAAAACTCTTGTCTAGTTTGTGCTCCTTCCACCTAGCTAACTCGGTGGAGGCTATTGTACAGGAGGCCTGATGCCTTTCACCTGCTGTATGATCCTCTGCATCACATTTCAAAAATTTTAAAGTATAAAGAGCATGACTGAATTTGTTTTGAGGTGACACATAATATCCATCTCTCCCTGTTTTAGTAATTGCATTTTAAGAGTACGGTTGGCTCTTTCCACTGTTGAGTGACATTCGTTTTGCCAGATTTGATTAGGTTTAAGTCCTTGGGTATTTACCCATAAAGTTAGCACAGGGAGGTGGATAACACACTGAGGACATTGCTTCTAAGAAAACATGGAAATTGTCATTCTCAAGTAACATTTTGAAGGCTGAAAAATAAATGAAAATGTTCCTCTGAATTAGTGTGCTGTTTTAATAATTTTGGCCATACTTAACACATAAGCACTATCACTATAGGTTGATGGGCTCTGTAGCAAAATCTTTTAAGGCATAAATAAGAGCTTGTATTTCTACTGAAATATAAGGGGTTTGAAGGACCTTTGTGTTGTGGAGTGAAGGTGAGTGAATGATCACTGGAGTCC